CACAGCCCCCCTATGAGCCCCACTTGGGCCCTCCCAAGTTCCCCCATGGGCCCCCCAGGTTCCTGGCTGCAGCTGCGGGGGGAGGGGGTGCATCCTGGAATTTGGCATAAGTACAGGATCCCCGGGGACTCAGCCAGACAAGAGGGAACCAGGCCCTAACACTCTCGACAATGTGCACACCGGGGCCAGGTCTCAGAGTCTCTGATGGCTCTCGTGCCTACCTACCTCCCTGTCCTGAGCCACATCCCAGATCCCGACAGCCCTCAGGATCCACCCCCACCCGTCCCAACTCGCAGTGTCCCCAACGAACCTGCCCACCCTGATGGCCCTGCCCCCCCATGAGGCTCACATGAGGCCCCAGGAGGCTGGCTCTCCCGGCTCACAGTGTGCTGACAGCCCCTGCACCCCTCAACGGCCGCCCCCCCAACAAGGCCCCACTGGCACCTCACCCAGGACAACGCCGCTGGCTACGCCGGGGATGCCTTGGATGACGGTCAGGTTGTTCTGGGTGAAGTACTCGTCACAGGTGGCGCTGGGAGCAGAGCCATTGCAGAAGAGGCCCCAGAGGGCCGTGGTCGCCGTGCCATTGAGGCCGGGGTGCTCCTTGGCGCAGACATCGAAGCTGAGCCAGGACAGCGTGCGATTCCCAAGGAGGCAGACCCTGGGGCAACAAGGAGACACATTTCCCACTGTCCACTGCCCGCAACGGGGCATCACTCATGGGGCCACTTCGACCACTGCTGCCTCAACTGAGCCCAAAACCACACGCCCGCTCTCACCTCGGCCCCGCGACCACGCGCCCGCTCTCACCTCGGCCCCACGACCACGCGCCTGCTCTCACCTCGGCCCCGCGACCATGTGCCCCCTCATCTGAGCCCCACAACCACACGCCTGTTCTCACCTGAGCCCCAGGACAACCCCATCAGGGGACGACGAGGCTCAGAGAGGGCAGGTGACCCGCCCAGGGCACACAGCTGGCAGCGGCAGCACAGCGGGTGGGTTTTCAGTGGAGCCCAGGCCCCCGCTTCACGTGTGCTGCCCTCTTGAGCCACACAGGGACCCCGGCCTCAACAGAGACTGAGGTTACAGGAGGGGAGGGGGAAGAGGCAGAACGAAAGGACTTCGGCCCCCAGCCCCGCCACTTGGGGGTCTCGGGACCCCATCCGCTCGGCGAGCACCCCAGCGGGCAGCAGGCGGGGACTCACGGGATGTCGGGCGGGTCAAAGGCCGTCTTGATGACGCCGGCGTAGATGGCCAGGATGGAGAGGACCACGCAGGCAAGGAAGACCAGGGCCAGCTTGTTGACATACTTGACGCCCACGAAGACCACTGCGGCCATGAGGGCCAGCGTGCACGAGCCGTAGACACGCATGTTGTGGAGCATGGCGGCTGCCTCCCCGCCCGCCACCTCCGCCCGGAAGACGGCCGCACTCGGGGAGATGTAGGTCTGGGGGTGCAGAGTGGGGCTGTGAGGGG